GTTTGCTACAATTCGCCATTAGTATATGTAGTAACATTGTAACAGCGTTTGCTACAATTAGCCATTATTTTATGAAGTGACATTGTAACAATGTTTGCTACAATTAGCCATTAGTATATGTAGTAACATTGTAACAACGTTTGCTACAATNCATTACGTAGATTGGGTCTGTATTTAAAATATGCTACCGCCAAAAGAAAAACCCTCGCGTAGTAATATTGCTAAATTATGTATTCTTTTTATGTGATAATTGCTTATATGGAATTGTCCTCCGCCATCTTGAAAATTTGAAATATGTTTTGTATTCTATGTATCAATTAACCTATATGCTGATTTGCATTCGGAAATAAAAAACTTAAAACTTAAACTTAGTGACATTGTAACTACGTTTGTGCAGTAATGATCTTGCTTTTACGGTTTATAATACGTCATCAAAATGGTTGTTTTTGTACGTTTTTTGGTGTTTGTTTGGTGTGTTTGTTTGGTGTTTGTACATGGTTGACACGGAGACTGGTTATTGACCGTGAAGCCTAATGGGTATTGACGGTCAGCTGTCAGTTGTTATAGACACGCCTCAGTAATACACGTCACAGCACGATCATCATCGTAATTCTACAGGGTCAGCGTGAACAACAAACAACTGTTTCCAATTAGAACCGTGTTTCTGCATTCTAAATTTCCTAAATATTTAGCTATAAAAAGTTATATACAAGCCATATATGTGAATGTTTATTAATTACACAACTAATTTTAATGTATTATTTGCTGAATAAAAATGTCACTAAGTAGGGTTCGTATCTCTCACAAGGAAATCTCAGTGTTAATCAAATACTAGAGGTGAATATGTGTAACCCAATGACAATTATTTCTCTTAAAAACTGAAATAATTATTATATGACAAAGTTTCAGCTTTATTAAACATATATGTGTATGTATGTAAACAAGCACTTTTTTTTCTTCATCAAAATACCTCAATTTACAGTGATAAACATAGTTGGGATATCTTTTCATACTATAGTTAGGTTTTATATAACGATAAAGTTTTGAATAAGTTCCGTCAATTTCAGCTTTTTTTTATTTTAAGAAAATGATAAACGTAATTAGGATAGCTCTTTTGCATTTATATTTTTTGTATAGCGAGAAAAGTAGCTCGGATAACGTTTTACTGTAATGTGCCATTGATGATTTACTACCATGTAACGTGTATAGGTTTTGTGAAGGGAGAAGAGTATTTCGGATACGTTTTGCTATTATGCATAGATTTTGTTTAACCTTTTTTTACAACCATTGTAGTTCGGGTGATATTTCGCTTCTTTGTGTAGGTTTTGTGTGATGACATTTATATCTATATGCATCATTTTTGCTACTTGGTATGAGGTTTTTTGTTATTCATATTGACATGACTGTGTAGTTCGGACGGTTCTTCGCTATTGTGTATCTTATAAGAATTTTAGATAGCAACGTATGTATATCGGACAGATTTAAACCAACATGTACAGGGTTTTCATTTAAAGCATAAACTTCATTGCTTTTACAACAATTATGAAACAACGTTTTCCAACTTACTTTGTATATTAATCAGTCTTGTTGGTCCAGATAGAAGCGCGCTAAGTGGATTTACTGTGGCAGTAAACCGGAGTACCCGGAGTAAACCCATGTGGTCGTCACGTGACCCAAAACTTGTTTACGTCCGATTGGGAAATCGAACCCCGGTCTCCTTGGCGAAAGGCGATTGCGTTATCCTTTGCGCCATCTGACCACCCATGTGAGGGGTTGTAATTTGTTATATACATATGGTCGGATTGGTCGAGTGGTTAACACTCCGGCCTTCCAAGCAGGCGGCCGGGGTTCGATCCCCAAAGTCGCCGTACGCATGGAATATTAGAGAAAGTGTTTTTCTCCTGCCCACACAACTCCAACAACCCAGGCGGAGTATAAAATGGTCTGGGGTGGGTGTTGCGGTATCTGTGCTGTAGCATTCAAGTTGGAAGCACGGTCCCACTACAAACAGAACACAATACATCTCCAGCACACACACAGGCATACACACATAAGGAGATATTAGCCAGGTGGCATAGGACTAGTAGTTAGCGCCTGATAAGGCAGCTCCTGCAAATTCCTCCTCAATATTGTATTGATTAATAGATATGCTAATTGTATTGACTGTATTAAATTGTATATCTATGTACTGTAAAGCGCTTTAGAGTGGCTTATGTTAGCTAGATAGGGCGCTATATCAAATGTTGTATATTACATGTATTATTATTATTATATGGATCATCCCCGCTACTTTACTTGTATATCTAAAACACACTATTAATCGCGACATACGTATTTCAAATATTTTTTGTATTACCTTGAAAGTGGCTTACGTAACGTTTAATCCAGATACAAGCAATTACACAAAAGCTGTCTCATTTTAAAAAATCTCTTGGCCTGACATCAGACTACTCAATCCATTAAAACAAAGGTAACATGTAAGCCCAATAAGGTATGGGCGCTGTCGTAAATGATCCTCCTTCATCATTGTGAAACATGATGGAGCGTAGTTCACGAAGGATTTATTAAGCCATCCATGGTTTTAGGTTTAAATCCATCTGTATGAAGACCAGCGGATTGATATTTTGGCGACACAGCTATCCGAACTTTGAAAAAGTCACTGGTAAAATGAATTTTGATGAATGCATCAGTGACATGGCTTCCCACGGATGAAAATATCCGTGAAACACTGCTTAGGGTACAATACTAGCGGGTGGATACATCAGTGACATGGCTTTCGGTGGATGAATGTATCCGTGACACAATACTAGCGGGTGGATACATCAGTGACAAGGCTTCCGGCGGATGAATATATCCGTGACACAATGATTATGATATAATAACAGCGGGTGGATACATCATTGGTATGGGTCAGGGCGGATGCATGCATAATGCACGACTACGTTCAGTGAACAGGTACCGGCGGATAAATCTGTAATACACTCTCCGCGGATATGTACGTGACCAGAACTGTGTTTAAACTACAGCATGATATTTAGATTATTAGAAGATCATCTACTACTAATTCACTTGACTTCAAACAAACTGAGTGATGATTACCATTTCTGCAAAATAAAAATGCTATAACGGGGTTACATACCATTTCGAGGCCGGCGTGATGGTGCCCGGTCTGTAATTCTGTGTTGTGTGACGATGGTGAGGGGTGCACACAACCATCACCTTGTAGTAAAGACAAAGACAAACTTTTTTTCCAGTCTGGAATGTGTCGTGTGTTCGTGTTTAGGTGTTGTTACATGGCCCTGTGAGTGTATGAGTGGGGGCTTGTCGGAGAAGCCACCGGGACGGTCTGGTACTGCGCACGTGAAACCAAATGATTGCTGTGGGGCTATCCGTCATTAGGGAAATGATGCAGGTACGCCCCTGGCACTGTTGACGTTACAGAGGACCCGTCGGTGCGCGACAATGCCCTTGTTAATTTACATACTACTCATATTCGTTGCTAATGCACGTGTTGGTTCCAGTATATAGGTTCTAGGAAATGTAGTACAACGTCAGGTAAATACAAAATGTAGGTAACGACCTTTGTCAACCCAGTGCAAGTCGATAATAGGTGTGTAACCTCTCACCTGTAGACGTCAAATTATGGCTCGTCGTTAACAATATATCAGCAGGTACAGAATGTTTCATGTACATGCACATGGAGTTCGCGTCAAATATCGCTAGGACTTAAGAGGTTCTGATTTGTCAGCCATGTTGTAATTGTTGGTACGTATACAGTGCAATTGTCTGACAATACATGTCCATGTAAAGGGAAGGCATGTTCTTGTGTACATGTACCTCACAACATAAACAACAGTATTAAGATTGCTATCATATTAATGGCCCTACTGAGCGACCTGGTAGCGTTGTGTCGCTCCATACCATCATTCCGGCGTCAACACCTGATACAGGACGACGATACATAACGACGTGCAAACATTTTACAGCCTAAGACCATCTAACATACAAACGATCCTAGTGTATCAGACTATCACCATGTCTCCGTCCATTGGCCACGCCTTCCGCCCAATTGAGAATTAGTGGGCCGTGCTATCCCCTAAGGACAATGGTCGGCAATACTTTCACGTATTGGAATCTGAGAAATACTGTCCTAGGGACACTATATCAGGCAGACGAAATCTGTCCTCTGGGACATTGTGGCAGGCAGGCGGTATCCCGGTGGACACTGGCAGTCAGACGATGCATGTCCCCGGGGACATTGGCAGTCGGACGATGTATGTTCCATGGGACATTGGCAGTCAGATGGTAAATGTCCCTGGGACATTGACAGTCGGACGTTGGATGTCCCTGGGACATTGACAGTCAGCCGACGTATGTCCCTGGGACATTGACAGTCGGACGTTGTATGTCCCTGGGACATTGACAGTCAGCCGACGTATGTCCCTGGGACATTGACAGTCGGACGATGTATGTCCCCGGGGACATTGGCAGTCGGACGATGTATGTCCCATGGGACATTGGCAGTCAGATGGTGAATGTCCCTGGGACATTGGCAGTCGGACGATGTATGTTCCATGGGACATTGGCAGTCAGATGGTGAATGTCCCTGGGACATTGACAGTCGGACGATGTATGTCCCTGGGACATTGACAGTCAGACGACGTATGTCCCTGGGACATTGACAGTCGGACAATGTATGTCCGATGGGACATTGGCAGTCAGATGGTGAATGTCCCTGGGACATTGACAGTCGGACGATGTATGTCCCTGGGACATTGACAGTCGGACGATGTATGTCCCATGGGACATTGACAGTCGGAGGATGTATGTCCCATGGAACATTGGCAGACGGAAGATTTGTGTACTCGGGGTCACTGGCAATCGGAGGGTATCTATACCCGGGACATTGGCAGTCGGACGATGTATGTCTCTGGGGACATTGACAGTCGGACGATGTATGTCCCATGCGACATTGACAGTCGGACGATGTTTGTCCCTGGGACATTGCCAGTCGGACGATGTATGTCCCTGGGACATTGCCAGTCGGACGATGTATGTCCCTGGGACATTGCCAGTCGGACGATGTATGTCCCTGGGACATTGCCAGTCGGACGATGTATGTCCCATGGGGCCTTTGCAGTCGGACGATATGTGTATCAGCGGACACTGGCAGTTGGTCGGTATCTGTACCCGGAGACATTGACAGTCGGACGATGTATGTCCCATAGGACATTGGCAGTCAGACGACGTATGTCCCTGGGACATTGACAGTCGGACGATGCATGTCCCTGGGACATTGACAGTCGGACGGGGTATGTCCCATGGGACATTGGCAGGGGGACGATGTATGTCCCTGGGACATTGACAGTCGGACGATGTATGTCCCTGGGACATTGCCAGTCGGACGATGTATGTCCCATGGGGCATTTGCAGTCGGACGATATGTGTATCAGCGGACACTGGCAGTTGGACGGTATCTGTACCCGGAGACATTGACAGTCGGACGATGTATGTCCCTGGGACATTGACAGTCGGATGATGTATGTCCCATGGGACATTGACAATCGGAGGATGTATGTCCCATGGGACATTGGCAGACGGAAGAGTTGTGTACTCGGGGTCACTGGCAGTCGGAGGGTATCTATACCCGGGGACATTGGCAGTCGGACGATGTATGTCTCTGGGGACATTGACAGTCGGACGATGAATGTCCCATGGGACATTGGCAGTCAGATGGTGAAAGTACCTGGGACATTGTCAGTCGGACGATGTATGTCCCTGGGACATTGCCAGTCGGACGATGTATGTCCCATGGGACATTGACAGTCGGACGATGTATGTCCCATAGGACATTGGCAGTCAGACGACGTATGCCCCTGGGACATTGACAGTCGGACGGTGTATGTCCCATGGGACATTGGCAGTCGGACGATGTATGTCCCTGGGACATTGACAGTCGAACGATGTATGTCCCTGGGACATTGACAGTCGGACGATGAATGTCCCATGGGACATTGGCAGTCAGATGGTGAAAGTACCTGGGACATTGGCAGTCGGACGATGTATGTCCCTGGGACATTGACAGTCAAACGATGTATGTACCTGGGACATTGACAGTCGAACGATGTATGTCCCTGGGACATTGACAGTCAAACGGGGACATTGGCAGTCGGACGATGTATGTCCCTGGGACATTGCCAGTCGGACGATGTATGTCCCATGGGACATTGGCAGTCGGACGATATGTGTATCAGCTGACACTGGCAGTTGGACGGTATCTGTACCCAGAGACATTGGCTGTAAGACTATGTATGTCCCATGGGACATTGGCAGTCGGACGATATGTGTATCAGCGGACACTGGCAGTTGGACGGTATCTGTACCCGGAGACATTGGCTGTAAGACTATGTATGTCCCCTGGGATATTGGCAGTCGGACGGTATTGGTACCCGGGGACATTGGCAGTCACACAATGTATGTCCCCGGGGACATTGATAGTCGGACGATGTATATAGATGTATATTAAATTAAGCATGAACTACGTAGTTTGGGTTTTAATTATATTTTGACTTGCCAATACATGTATGTACAAAATGAAAATCTTTTTTTGCAAATGTATGCTCAACGTGTTCTTTATGTATTTATCCAAGACTTACGCAGTGCTTTTGATGCATCTTCAAAATGTTATTTGTACAAGCATCTTGTTGATACCTTTTGCGTCCAGTTCTATCTGACTAAGCCCATCAATATAAGGATAAAACAGTTATTGAGTCAATCAAGCACACAGTCTTAACATAGAATCTGGGGGCTATAATAACATTCCAGAGGTCAGAGAATAGGTACAGTCTGCGATAAAAAATGATATCGGAGATGAAGTACATTTTGAACTACTTAGTCCTGTATATTCTGATTTAAGAAAAACATCAATCAAACAGTATTATTATCGACATCCAAGTATCTATAAACTAATAGAATTATTTACCTGTAAAAGTCTTAAATCTTTAAATAGATTGGGTAAATATTTGTGGCACGCTACTTCTAAAAGGAAAATTCTCCTCGCTCAAAAGTGATATCATATTGAAACATTATTTGAAACTACTTTGTTATAAGTGTACATGTATAATAATAGTTTATTCGTTAATAGCGCTTTGAATAGTACTTTAATGACATCCCATGGTTCTTTATGGCTGTTTGAAGTTATATGTGGTGTTTTCATTACGATGTCATCCTTTCATGACGTCACATATATACAGGTAGTAAAGTCGCACATATGATTATATTGTTATATACTTCTCACAACTTTACGAAAAATCATGCTGTAAAACTGCAAGTGATATCATTATTACGTGTCTGTAGGCATATATATATTTAAATGGAATTGTCCTCTGCCATCTTGTACATCACATATGAATTTTGAATATTTAATTACGTATGTTTGTAACCTATATGCTGTATTGCATTTGGATATAATAAAACTTGAAAACTATCCCCGGGGACATTGGCAGTCGGACGATATCTGTACCCGGGACATTGGCAGTAGGGCGATATCTGTTCCCGGGGACATTGCCAGTCTGGCGATATCTGTACTCGGGACATTGGCAGTCGGACGATATCTGTTCCCGGGGACATTGGCAGTCGGGCGATATCTGTTCCCGGGGACATTGGCAGTCGGGCGATATCTGTTCCCGGGGACATTGGCAGTCTGGCGATATCTGTACTCGGGACATTGGCAGTCGGGCGATATCTGTTCCCGGGGACATTGGCAGTCGGGCGATATCTGTTCCCGGGGACATTGGCAGTCTGGCGATATCTGTACTCGGGACATTGGCAGTCGGGCGATATCTGTTCCCGGGGACATTGGCAGTCTGGCGATATCTGTACTCGGGACATTGGCAGTCGGGCGATATCTGTTCCCGGGGACACTGAAGGTCAGATCATTGCTATCCATCCGACATTTCAAATCAGACATTATCTGTTTGCGGGGAGACTGGATCTTCCACATTTTTTCCCTTGGACACTGGCAGTCAGACAATTGCTGTCCCTGTAACACTGATGAACTGTCCTCAGGGACAGTGGCAGTCACACAATATCTATCCCTTGTGACACTGTGGCAGACATTATTTCACCCGGGGAAACGGCAGTAAGATATATCTGTCTCAGTGCGAGTCGTGTGGACATCGGAAATTGGATAAGTTCTGTCCCATGGGATACTGTCAGCCAAACAATAGTATGGCAATATCTGTTCCATTCTGAACATTAAGACCGACTGTATTTGTCCTTTGGGGATTCAGTTTGACAATATCTATGCCCGGGGCACTTTGTCAGGCAGTTAGACAAGATATGTCCACGGGGGCACTTGGTCAGGCAGTAAGACAATATATGTCCCAGGGGGCACGTTGTCAGACA